CCTGCAGCCCCCTTCATCTGAACCAATGATGTTTTCTTGTTTAACTTTTGTGCTAGCGATGGGTTATTTATGACCAACACTATGTTCGAGCAAAAGACTGGTCATAAGTGTATTTGGTACCAGACCACCTTGGACCAAAGGTTGATGACCGACTTTGTGATCATGCCATAAGACCTGCAGCTTTATGTCTTGTATACTCGAGTGAAGGGAGGAGCGATCTGTAAGTTAATCGCCACCTGCAGGTGAATGGAATTAGATGGTGGGGACGACTGCTGGACAGACCCTGGTAAACCCAAACATGTTGTAAAAGTGAACTTGAAATGTCTTGCGGAGGCCCCTGTTCATGGGGTCTTCAACTCCCACCTCTGGAAAGTTTTTCATGTCTTCTGGGGGAGATTGGGGACATGAAATCTGAGTGAGTCATGCTCAAAACATCTTTTGTGGAGGCAGCTGTTAGGAATTGTGGTTGATGAACAGACAGCTACTGGGGGGCCAGAAGGGCTGCAGGACCAGCAGTCTCAGGCAAGCGAGGAGTTTTTAGAGGCTAAGGAGAAGGACCTTCAGTTAGCCCCAGTGAAGTCCTGGCAAACTGTTCAACGCCTCAGGAGGGGGAAAGACAAGGCCTCCCAGAGTCTGTGTTCAGCTGGGGGGGGAGAACTACTGACCCAGACTGGGGATATTTTTGGACAGTAGAAGAAGCACTTTGAGGAGCTCCTAAACCTGGCCAACATGCCCTCTTTGAATGAAGCAGAGTCAGGAGAATCCATATCTGTGGTAGAGTTTGCTTAAGAGGCTTTTAGGTGGCAGGATGCAAGGCGGGTGAGATTCTCCCAGAGATGCTTGAGGCCTTGGACACTGCTGGACTGTCAGGGTTGACATACCTTTTCAATGTCACATGAAGGTCAGGGACAGTGCTTGCAGAGTAGCAGATGAGGGTGGTTTTAAAAAGGGGGTCCAGAGGGAGTGCTTCAGTCCCTGAGGTATCACACTCTTCAGCCTTCCGAGAAAAGTTGATACCAGCTTGCTGGAAATGAGCCTCCGACCAGCTGTCGAACCTCAGATGCTGGCAGAACAATGCGGAATCCGTCCCGACCATGGAACAGTGAACTAGCTCTTTACCCCAGCAAAGTTGTTGCGGGGGTCATGGGACTTTGACCAGCAAGTCCACATGTTTTAATCAGGATGCCTTGACTTCCTTTGGGGGTTTTCCTACTGGGGAGACCCAGGGGCAGACCAAGAAATCTGGCCTGGGAATGCCTTAATATTCCCCAGGAGGAAGTGAAAGGCATTTCTGGGTAGAAGGACATCTGGAATTAACTGCTTAGCCTGCTCCCACTGCAACCCGATCATGGATAAAAAAAAGAAAATGGATGAGTGGATGAATGGACATGTAGTTCTTACCATCCAGAGTCCCAAGGTGATGTAGAACACTTCCAACAAAGTTTAAATTTTAAGAAAGTATAGTTTTGAATCTGGAAGAGAGTGATATGGGAATCTTCCAATGTTATTGATTGCTTTAAGAGACTCCACACAGGAATCCAGCAGCTGCAGTCCTGCTGATATGATGACTGGCCAAATGATCTGTGGTTCCCTACCTCTCCTCAAAGGAAAGTAGTTAGCAGAGTCACCTGGAGTTGAACATAATCATTTGGATTGTGTGAGCACTTTCCAAGAGCATGAGCCTAAAAAGTCATGATTCGTTACTTTTTTAGCCTGATGAGCAGATTTTAGTGCTGCTTCCATGAGTTGGATCCAGCACACGGGCTCAGTTCTCTGGCCCATATGTGGTAGAACAAAAATTCACATCAGGAGTTATGTAATCCAAACCCTGAATAGAAAGAGAAAAATCTCCAGATTTCTTGCAGGTTTTTTTTTCTGTGTGTGACACACACACACACACACACACACACAGAAAAAACTGTAATTTTCTGATGATGAACTGGTAGAAAAAAAGTCATTCACTGCCAGTCAATTGCTTAAGAAATTTTGAGGTGTTAAGTGATTAATGATTTATGGATTTTTTTCATATCTATCTGAATCCATTTATGCAGATATTATCCATTTGATACAAAATAACTTGTCATTTTTTTCTGATCATCCTCATTAAACTGTGGTCCTGGTTCCTGATAATAATGTGGAAGGTCAGTGCCCAAATAGGCAGAACATCAATCGCGTTAATCCAACTGAACAGGCTCTGATGCAGCAGAAGGTAAATTGTCTGATGGCTGATTGAGTTGTTCCTAATCATGTCCACATGGAGCTTGCAGGCATCCCAGTTTTGATAATGGACATGTTATAATTACAGAAATGCACCCTGAGCTGTTAATCCAATGCCAGTATAACATGCTGGCTACATGACCAAATCTACACCTTCGTCATGTTTACATAAAAGTCATGCCAGCAATGTTACTAAGTCAGACCTAGTAACATTTATGTGTCACTTTCAACACAGTTTAAGTCTGAACAAAACTGTCACATTAATGGATAGACAAGCGAGTACATTGAGTTGTGTGAAGGGATTTAGGGAAGAATGTTTCCACATTTCAGCACCAGCACTTGCCAAAAACATCACAGAGAGCACTTAATACACAGTTGATGTGCCAAAAACACATTACACTTTTCTCACTTTGCTTTACAATTTTAAATCAATTTGGCTACAAAATAAAATGTCTGACAATATAACTTTACTGCCATGGAAACAGACACTAACAGCTTGAAGACTAATGCTTTTCATCCTTCACAAGATGAGCTGAAGTTTGTACCGTCCAGCTTTTAGAACTATTACTTCAGAATGTTTTAATACATGCATCATCAGACAGCAGTAGGATCCATGTCTGCATCTCCAGTAAGAGAGAGGTGCTTGCATTTGCAAAGTGGAACAACAACAACAACTTCATTAAATTCTTAAATTACAAAATTAATATAATGAAATTATATGAAATTGTGTTATTATATGTTACATGTTAACATGTTATGTGTCAGCCACCCCTAGATGAGGCATAGCATGGCACAATATGGGACCTTAATGTAAAAGTATTATCAGGAAAATGCAGAAAATGCCTCTTATGACTGTTACAAATTATACCTAACTCTAGCCAAGACCATGCTTTGGGACAGGTGTGGCTGTCCTGGACTGGCTTAGACCACATCTGTGGAAACCCTAAAGTTGGCAGTTCATTGGCACTAATCTTATCTGACAGAGAAGAAGAATGGGATAAACTTTCTGAGTCTAAATGTATGAAGCCTGTAAAAACTTTCCCAAAGCTGTCATGGTTACCAAATGGGCTTCCAGTACTGAATTAGGGGCCTGAGTACTTTTGTAAATTAGATTTCTGTTTCAGACTTTTACTAAAATTCTTAGGATCATTTCATTTTGTTGTTTCAATTTATTAAATGCAGATTCATGCAAAAACAAACAAATAAATAAATAAAAATATCACATTTTAGTCATTTAAATTTGTATTTACAGGGCAATGATTTTTTGCAGAAGTATAAATCACTCTTCACATGATCGCCACAAGTCCTTGTGGGATAGATGTAGGTGTATTGACTAGTCTTTTCTGTCGTGATGAAGGTCTTTAGTGGCTATTTATATTCTATGACGTTTTAAACTGCAGCAGATTCATCTTCAACATACTGGGAAAGGATACACTGATTCACTAAATCTTGCCTTTGCTTTTCTGTCCAGGCACTGTGGTGTGGATATGAATGGGAAGGTAAATACTGCTGATGAGATCCTTCATTCCCAAAGTGCAAGTATGGTGTCAAATCTGTCTCCAGAAGCCCAGTCTCACACTCGGGTAAGCACACACACACACACACACACACACACACACGATTTATGCATGCTGAGTGTTTGATAAACGTTTGGTTTTTTTAAAAAAATAAATGAAATCAATATGTAAGCTCTCTTCTTTGACATCTCTGATTATCTGCAGACGGCTCGTACTCCCAGAAAAGCGGCTATGTTTGGAAAGCGCTCCAACTCTATGCGCAGGAATCCCAAAGCAGAGGTTTCCAAACAGGGATGGCTGTACAAGCAGGTAAAACTTTTTCCCTTTTTTGCTCAGTTATAAAATAAATTTTATGGAATTGATGGAAACTGTGGAAGAATTGGAATTATGGAAATGTGGTGTTCAGCATAGTGGTGAGAGGTGATTAAAAAATGTATCAAACAATTAGAGGTTTTGTAATTATTTGCGATTAATCACATTTTTATCAACTAGCAATCTTTGTCGCAATAAGCTTTTTCAGTTCAAATACATTTTGGTTGGCAACTGAATCAATGAGTGGACATATCTGTGAACTTAAACAACACAAATGTTTATTTGTCATCTCTATTTATCTGTGCATTTTTCATCTGTCATTTAAAGATTAGTGCATTCAAAGTGCAGTTCTAGCTATTATATTCAACATTTTAAGACTTCTTTTGTCTTAAAACTGTTTGTTGTACAATTTCCACGTGGTCATGCTCTTATCCTGCAGTTGGGAAGTTTAAAAAAACAACAAGCCAAGCAATGCGGTCTTGTCTTCCATCACTGTTCACCAAACTTTCTTGGACACTGATGTCACTCAGTGCATCCGGCCAACCAACTTGGCAAGGTGCAGTACAGGAACCTACTAGGCTGGAGTGTGTGCTACCGGTGTGCCAGAAATTAAGGATCTGAGAAAGGTGCCATGAAATGCGTTGGTTCTTTATTTTTTCTGGGATTAATTAATCAAAATTAACATGTTAAAGTCTTAGGCCCAGTTCAGCGTACGTCTGTGAAGATTCTCAGTCATCCAGGTCATGGTTATTCTCATTATTAATCGAAGCAACTGGACTTGCTTGAGTTTCTTGAAGACGTTCCACCTCTCATCCAAGAGGCTTCATCAGTTCTGACTGACTAGTTGAGAGTTCCAGATACTTACAACCTAAAAGGAGCCATTAACACCTGAGTTTTGGTTTCAATTGGGGGTTTGTTGCTCCTCCCCCTCGTTTTGTGGGTTGTTCGTGCTCTCCCTGCCACAGTGGGTTTTGTTAGGGTCTTTTGTGGCGAGGTGTGATATCACCATACCTTTGCTTTTGAGCTATTGTCTTCGTCATTATAAGGGTTAACACTGGATGCTGTATTTTGTTTTTGTTGCAAACAGTTAGGGCTGCCATCATTTGATTTGATAATACTGTATGCTATTTTGTACACTATGAAGACAAAAGAACTGCACTGAAAAGTCAGAGGATGGATGCAGAAAATGTCAGACACTGAATATACCTTGAAGTACAGTTAGATCCACAATTAAGAAACATAATGAATATGTCAGATGTGTAAATCTGCCTAGAACAAAAACTAGCAGAGCATGCAAGTCCTTTGAAGGAGTTAGAAGCTTCAGTGACTGAGATGGAAAAGACTGTGCATAGAAGAACTGTTGCCCAGATTCTTAATCAGCTCAAGCTTTATGGAAGAGTGGCAAAACTAAGGTCACTGTTGAAAAAGGCTCATAATAAATCAAAACTAGAGTTTGGGAGACTTGGGAGGCGTGTGGGAGAGTCTGAGTTCAGCTGAAAGAAGATTGTTTTGTACAGGGAAGTCCTGGAGGACAATCTGATGAGGTCCAGAAGATAATTGCAATTTGAGTGAAGATTTTTTTTCCCAGCAAGTCAATGACCCAGAACATACAGTCAGCATTACACAGAAATGGTTTAAAGACAACAAGGTGACCGTTGTGGAGTGTCTGAGTCAAAACCCAAACTATCTCATTCAAAATTTGGACTTGAGAGGATCTGTTATTTTGTAATCTCCATGAAACTTGACAGAGCTGAAGCAGTTATACAAAGAGGAATGAGATGGAATTGTATGGTCCAGATGTGTCCAAATAGGCTCAATGCTGTAACTGCTGCAAAACACACATCTATTAAAAACTGATTTAAAGGGAGTGAATTTTAATGCAATCACTTATTTTACTTTTTTTTTTTTTTTTTAATTATTTGCAATACATTGTAGAAACCTGCCTTCACTTTGACATGAATTCTTTTTTTTTTGTAAATTTTTGTCAACAAATCCAATTATTTAATGTTGAAATGCATTAAAAGGGAACATTTTCCAAGAGGAGTACATAGGCACTGCAATGTTGGCCCTATGTTTGAGGGGATGAAGAAACTTGCTGCAATTTCAAAACTTTGTCCATAGAAAGAAACAACTATTACCAATAGAAAGAGTTTTTGTTTGTTTGTTTGTTTTAATATGTGGTACATTGTACAGAAGTGTATAATATTAGTAAAGATTTTAGGATATTTCACCTTTATTTGATCCGTCTTTATAACATGGTTACTACTGTATGTACAAATATGTGAAAATCATTATGACAAAGTTTCATTGTTCCATATTGCTGCAGTGAAGAGTTCAGGTGTGATTCACACATGTATGCAGATCGTTCCTGTGATTAAATCTGATGTAAAGTTATTCTTCTTATCACGGGGTGACTGTGGCTCAGGTGGTAGAATGGGTTGTCCACTAATCACTACACTGGTGATTGATTCCCCATCCCTTCCAGAGTGTCCTTGGGCAAGACAGTGAACCCAAAGTTGGAAAGCAGGCACCTTGCTTAGCAGCTCTGATGCCTTTGCTGTGTGAACATGGTGTGTGAATGGGTGAATGAGAAACACATTATGAAGCACTTTAAGTACAACTGAGGTAGAAAAGCACAACATAAGTGCAGACCATTCGTTATTTATCCAAACTTTGTTACACAGACATGCGACCAACTTCACTGGAAAGGTCAAGTCTTGTAGTTTTGTTTGATCTGCGCTTCATGTTGCTGCAGTCAAAACACCAAGAGCACGTAGTACTTCAGTTGGGTTGCAAAGATATCTATGAATCCCAAATTTTACAACAGTTCAGCACGAAATTACCTCAAATTGTTCCAATAGTTCACCTGGTGGAGGAGCACAACATGTACTAAGGCTAAGACTCGTCAGCCCCTCTCCCTCTTCCTCCTTTCTTTCCTGTCTCACCTTAGCTGTCCCTATAAGTAGATAATAAGTCAGTGGGACTTCACAGGCTAAGAATAAAAAACAGTCAATCATGTGCTTACAACCCTCCAAACTGCAACTGCTTCAGTCGTACAGGCCAAAAATTCTGCCACAAGAAGTGTTGCATTGGCCTTACGCTGCATGACTGTGAGTTCAATAACATGTGCAGCAAAAAGCTGACAGCAAAATGATGTGGTGCAGCCAGAAATCCACAGCGCGAGCATGTCTCCTCAGGAGTTACTTGGATGTGAGTGACGACTGGGTTGGAATGTATGGCTATGTGTCTCTGTGGTGAGGAAACAGGCTTCAGACCCCAGTCAAAGACACATTATGAGATAAAAGAGCAAGAGAGTATTTCTGTAGTTCTAGCATTTCCAATAGAATGAGTAAAACCATCAGCACCATATCAAGTCCTGCAGTCAGAATTTCTCAGTAAGACTGTATTCATATCAGATCAATGCATTTTATAAATGTTTATTAAGAATTTGGCATCAAGCGCTGCTATGCACAGTGTATAGTTATGTTCAGTACGTACACGGAGCATCTTTGGCAACTGATTTATTTATTTATATTTTTTGTGAATGAATTAAAGTGTTGGAATCAGAGGAAACAAGAGAAAAACTGTTGGAGATAGGTTGTGGATAGTATAATGTAAGATAAGATAAGATAAGATAAGATAAGATAAGATAAGATAAGATAAGATAAGATAAGATAAGAGCGACAACAAGCAAAAAAAAGTCCCTATTATCTTTAATGAGGGTGGACCTCTGCTGGATGATGCCAGTTATATCAATGTGACAAAAAGTGGACATTTTTTTATTAATTTTCTTTTCTAAGTAACTCACTACATAGTAATATTTATTTATTTATTTATTTTTACAAAGCTACTAACTCAAGTAGTTATTTTGCTGGCTAATTTACCTTCTATTTGAGTACTTGTTCTGACAAAGTACTTTGCTTTTTTTGCTGCTCTATTTACGTCTGACCTGTGGGTATGCATCTTATTTATGTGTGTTTGTGTTGCAGCTGTCCAAGACAAAAAGCAAAATAGGAAACTGAAAGTGAGCTACTGTTGGTTGTTCAGCACCTAAAAAGCTTCTACACAGGCTTCTGGGGAATTAAAATGTGCATATTTCTCCAGTACAAATAGGAGTCAAGTCATTCAGTCACCTTGGATTATTTTCGCCCTACTGCTGAGCAAATGAACGGGATCTGCTGAGCATAATAGCAGCTGCTCTGACGTAGAGTCCCATAGCATTAGTGATAAGCAGCAGAGTTACTCATGTTAAAAGTCAAAACCATTCAAAATAATATGCCCAAGAAAACCGGTGATCTCACCATTTCATGTTGAAAATGGGAGAGGTGTGTTCACAGACAAACTTCCTGCTTAGGCGAAGTCCAGCTAGACTCAAGTAAACAAGCAGGTGATGTGAAGAGAGATCCTCACAGCAGGACAGTGGAGAAAAAAATGTTGTTGTATCCATTGTTGTTTTTTGACATTCTTTGGGATTTTGTTGATAATCATGTTCCTAACAATGATGACGAAGATAAAGATGATGATTACGATGGTGTGTTGTGTGTGTTCCCACAGGCCAGCAGTGGAGTGAAGCAGTGGAGCAAGAGGTGGTTTGTCCTGACTGACAGATGTCTCTTTTACTACAAAGGTTTGTGTTTCATTCTGCTCTCCAGTCTGCTAATCTGCCTCTACTATTTTCAGTTTAATTCAGTTTAATGAGACTATAAGGTGCATGGCAGCATGAGGGTTACCAACTCCTTCACATGTTCAAGTTAGCGTTTTGCCTAATATCAAAATCATTTAACATCCTGATGATGTGAGTCAGTTGTCACTATTTAAAAACTGGAAAAGATACATAGTCCATAGTTGTCAGCAAACATTTTAATGTTGAAACAATATCTACAACCAGATGCTGTCAGGAGGCTGAAATATTTAGCCGGAATGTAAACTGAACAAATGTCAGGTTGCAAAGTTGATGTTGTTTCAACATGCATTCTTCACCATTTCCACATCCAGTGACAGTGTGACCTTCATCTCTACATGCAGCCTTAAACTTTTTAAATAATTTTCAGTTTAAACACAGTGCTTAACAAATTTATTCGACCACTACCCAATGTAAGGTTTCTGTCACAACTGCCCTAATTAACAGCATTAGTAATGACCACAAATCATTTCTTGTGTTTCTGTAGTGGTTAATACACCAGTATGTAAAGTGTTTCACCAAAAATTATACTTTTAATGCTAAAATATAATTATTATTGTGTTCCATGACTTTTTGAATTTACTGTTTCACAAAGAAAACTGAAAAAATAGTAAAGCACATTGTTATGTCTTGATTAAGATGTCAAATATGTATAGTAATTGAAGTATATATATGTATGTATGTATGTGTACAGATAATGGTAACAAGGAATAAATTGGACCATACTTTTGAGGGCAGACGATCACACAGGCAGGAAAAACAAGAACAAGAAAACAAAACTAACAGTGACACTGTCTGGACAGATATGCAAACTTCCTGCTAATAGTTCAATGTCTTGGCTGCAGAAACACTTCACAGTAAGATGACCAGGACAGCAAACACAATCACAAATATCACAACACTGCTATCTCCCCCCTCTTTCTTCTTACCACTCTTTCTGCAATCTCTGTCCACTCATACTGTCTGAAAGCCAGTTACAGAGGATTTAAAGTCCTGAAAATACTTATGCAGCCATGTCTCAGTGAAGCACACAACCCTGCATTCAGGACAGTCCTGCTGTGTCCTCATCAGCACCCTGAGCCCTTCTCATTCACCGGGGCATTCACATTCCCCATGATGGAGGAAATGGTTTGTGTTTCCTTCTTGCTTTCCATACGGCCCTGTACCCTTAGCATCCATTTCATCATAGTAAGAATTATAATATTTCTTTCTTTCATCCCCTGCAACCATTCTCTTTGTTGCATGTGTGAGTTGTGTTGTAGTTGATGTTAGCTTAAATGATGGCAAAGCCTCGGCAGAAATCGTTTTACAAAACTCTGTCAGTGTTGTTAGTCGTGTATATTGGGATGGATGTCATGTTTTTTTGGCATGGCCATCGTCTTTTGTGACTTACTGGGAGTTTGGGGTTTTGGTTATACTGAGCCTTGTTTTCTTTTGCTGTTTAAGAGATATTCTGTTAAGTATAGCAAAAGTCAGACAAAGAAATGAGCTTATGTGTCGATGAGATTTGTAGATAATTACGTTACCTATAATTAAAGGATCTGTTTTTTTGGGGGGGGGTTTCTTCAAGATTTCGTCCAGCCTTCGATGATATCAGCTCCTCGCTGTGTAGAATGTGGGTATCAACAGTTTAGAATGCAGATGCCGTCACTGTCCAGTTTCATAGCTGCAAATACATTTGCTCTTGAAACTAGAAGAACTTAGAGAACAATGTAGGCATGATGGGTGGTAGAGCTAAACAATCCTGTCTGATTTGATTCTTTTAATACTGCCTTAAATAGAATCGACCATTTCTGTTGAGACAAACTCATGAATTGACAGCGCAGTGTGCTGGTCTCTGACTACAGGTGAGCTCTTTCTCTCCCTGTAATCATCTTAAACAAATAGTAGATGAGACGTATGATTCAAATATTATGGTGTTTCTTTAAATAGTACAAAAATATCAGTGCTTTACATGAATGGACGCATTTATCCACACAATCTTCAGCAAAAAATAACCATGATAAATAGGATGCTATGTTTAATTTTTGCACAAATTGAGCAATATACCTGCATTCAAAAGAGCCCAATACTGGCACTGTGCCAGTCAGAGAGGGTTTATTACATAAGAATGTAACTACAGCACACTTCCATGTGCATCCTGAATGTCGGGCAAACAGAGAGTACTGGTAACACACAGACAGGCTGGTAAAAACTAAGAAAGAAAGTACAACCCTGGACGTTGTTGTTGTGGAAAACTTTTGCATTAGCCCAGTCAGACTGGAGGATCATGAACTCCTGTTTTCAGGTCCTGCCAGAGCATCTTAATGGAGTCTAGGTCCGGACTGTTTAGGTCACTTCAAAACTTCAACTGTTGACCTTTTGAGTCATGCAGAGGTGGATTTAGTCTTTATTACTATATTTGGGATCATTGGCATGTTGTTCCAAGTCTTTTCCGTTTACACATAATTTCTGCCTTTCTCGGTCTTTGAAAACCCAGAAGCTTAGAAATAGCTTCGGAACCCACTGATGTATTTCAATCAGCTTCCTCATCTCTTCTATGGTGAGACCTTTTAGCAACTTCATGCTTCTGAAAATGTTCCGTTGAAGTGATGATGTGAGTGGGCTGATAGCAGTCCTCCCTGCTTGTTTCTAGTCTAAGTACACGTATCAATGCAGCCTGGTGTCTTTCTGGATGTTTGGCCTTTGGGGATGAATGCTTTATCAGACTAACCTTCTTGCTTCACTATGTACAGTTATGATCTAAAACATGTATTTTTATGTTTGCACAGTTTGCATTTGTTTTCTGTAACAAGGGATGGGACATTTAGATCACTGCTAGTCTTGTCAAGGTTTCCATCAGGCAGTTTTTTTAAATTGAAACTTACCCTCCATCAGTCCAAGCAAAGCCCTCTCATCGGTTTCCTCCATGTTTCGTGTTGTTAGCGTAGCGCTGATGAATCTTGTGCATCACTGTGATCGGTGACCATGAAATCAGACACCGACAATGTTACGTGTTGTCTGGTTGCAAATTGCGATGAAATGTGTTAATTTTCTTTAATGCGTTATTTTTGTTGTAATTAATTAATCGTAATTAACACTTTAAGTATATTAGGGGTGGGACTTTAACACATTATTTTTGTCAGTCCTACCCCTATTTAGAACACTTCAGAACAATCTGTGAAACCTCTCAGAGTTACATGAAAAGATTGTATCTTAATCACATTTTAAAAAATGACATTTCATACCTTCATTACCCTTTCAATATTACTGTAAGAAAACTGTTTCTCATTAAACTGTGTATTTTGAGTCACGATAATTGTAATCAATTACTTGAAGTTTAATCAATGAAGTATCAAAACCAAATAGAAAGTCACAGCTCATTTTCACCAAATTCTAACATCAGTCATTTTCATCCATATCCGGGCACTATGTATTCCCTTGCTGGTGAAAATAAGTGGTATTGCAGTCTTATGCAGACTACAAAGGACATGATTTTCTTGTTAAGCTCTTTGGGATTCATGTCTCTGTAATCAGTTGGTGCTCTTGTTTGTGCTTTACCACAGAGCTGCCCGGCAGCCTTGAATAACCGCCTGCAGTATTCCAACAAAACCAGGATAGTCCCACAGTATGTACATAGAAAACATGCTGTGATTAGAGCACCTTTAGGATTAACTTTCTTCTCCTTGTTGCTCATTGACACATTTCTTTGCACCTTTCATCTTTCTCTCTGTATAAGCATAAATAAAAAAAATCCCTCAGGGATAAGCTTGTGATCATTTCACAAACTTCTTTATGAACAACATCGCTGTGTGCCCGTGCTTTTGTTTTCTTTCATTTCTTATTTTGACATTAGTTCCTTCTGGGCTTGGGGCTTCTTTCTTTATTCTGAGCACGTCGGTTTGGTTCCAGCCTTCCCTCCTTCTCTGTCTGTCCTTGCTGTGTTTTAGAAAAAAAGGGTTAGAAAGAGGAATGGAAGGAACAATGTGTAATAGTGCCATTTACCACTGCCATTGCTATGGCAGTGAGGACCGAGTGACAAAAAATTGGCACTTTTATTATCTGGACTGTGACTCAGAGGACTGTCTCTGACTCCTCTAAGGCACAGCTTGTACTTGTGGTTGTGGGAAAATGGCTAGATACCCCTGGGCAGATTACATATTTTTTCAGATTTCTGGAATAAAAAAGATAATTATGTAAATACAGTCCCTACAGCAACCAGAAAGCCTAAATGATTCTTTCCCCTGTTAATGCAGTCAGTTTAAAACAATACACCTAAAATCTTTATTCGTAATGACAGTTCATCTAAACAGCTACTCATACTGCAAGTTTTACTACTTCTATTATGTATTCAGCATGTTAACTATGTTCTGTTTGTTTTAAATTCACTCACTCTTCACTGGTCTGAAAGTTGCTTCTCTTGGTGATGTTGATTATCTTGATTGCTTAATGACAACGTATCATTTAAAGGCAATGAAGTTCAACTCAGATATGTATAAATGTGTATTTAAGTCCCTCTCAGTCTTTACTTAGAACCCTAAGAACTTAACTTAGAATGACATTTCCTATATTTAGCCCCCTGAACAATGACCCTGGGCGTTTTTTGCTCCGGTCACATTTACGGTCACAGCAGAATAAAGTACTACATCTTTATATAGAAACAGCACAGAGTTTTTTGTTTTTTTTAATTTTATTTTATACAGAATCTAGGAACTGGAGGAGCAGAGTAGATCTATATCTGAGCAGGGGCTATTTGTGACATGGGGGCAGGGTTTTAAGGGGAAGCATTATAAAATCTGATTGGAAAAAGAAGAAAAAAAATAATGCTCTCAAATTAAAGGACCACGCTCTTGATTAAAAATAGGAAAACAATTCCATCAGAAAGCCCTACACTAAAGCTTTGGCTGTAGCTGTTGTAGTGGTCAGAGACTAAGACCAGTATCTGTGACTGTGATTATAAATGACCA